GGGAAAACACACATGAAAGGGGAGCTGGGGGAGGGCTCCGGGCTGCGAGAAACAGCCCTCGCGGCAGCTCCTTTGGCAGGGGTCAGGCTGCAGGACACCGAGGAGATATATTAAAAGGGGGAAACTGGAGGAATCTAAATAATCAGGCTCCCCACCGGATAATGCCTTGACAAGAGGAGATGCTGCGGGAGCCAAGGAAAACCGACTCGCACAGAGGGGCAGAAAAGTAAGACGCCTTCTCCGAGGGGACGGGGCTGGCGACAGCGGGGGGACTGGGGAGGCCAGGGGGAAGGGCTGAAATCTGGAAGGAAATTAAATAATAGCCTGAAATTCCCAGGTGAGGAACGATGGAATTAAAAACAGAAAGGCCCCCAAGAGATAAACAAATCAAGGCTGGGAGGTGAAACGCAGACAGGGAGAGCTGGAGGCGGTCAGGGCAGCCTGCAGCCTGCAACGCCTGCAATGGTTCCCTGTGCTGCAGTTACCCCTGGATATGCCCCCAAAAGCTGGGGCCTTGCTCTGCCTGCACTGCCCGGCACCTAGGGAGAGGTAGCACTGCCGATCTGGAAAGAGCTCATCCCCCCAAACTGGCAAAGTTAACCAAAGAACACCCATTAACTCTGTTTCGCAGAGAAATTAAAACTATTTCCCATATACTGCATGGTTCTTGCATGCTATGGCACTCTTCTAAGAGGACTTTTAAGGATGTATAAATGTCTCTTCCATGTCCTGGGCTCAGGCACACACATAAAGCACCATGTTATCATGGCAGCCTACGTACACAGAGCACTTTCGGCATGGAAATGGGGTGTCCATATCCCAAGCAGAAGGGACCACTACCAAAATGTTGGTTCTGTGTACAGATTTGTGGAGAGTTTGTAGCAAGATAAAGAATTAAATCTATGCTTTGGTATCCCAGGAAAGGTACCTGAATGTACACACCATTTGAAAGGCACATCTCATGCAAGATCCATCAGGAAACAAGTTGGGAGACAAAGACCAGTAGAACAGCTCAGATGAACTTCTGACATAGGTGTTGTAAACTCATGGAGCTGTGTTGACTTCAGCAGATGTGTTTTGATTGAGGACATGGTCCTTAGAGACTAGGAACTTATTGACTTGGAACCGAACCACAGATTTTTTGGCAATTCTATTGCTTTTAAAAAATTAATGACAAGCCCTGAAAGCACATTACCAATAAGCATTAATATTCCCTAAGGAGAAACTGAAGCTCAGGGAGTGGGACCAACTAAACCATGAAGCAACATAACACAAGAACAGGGCAAAGAACCGAAAGAGCTTCCTTATTCTCAGGACTCAGGATATTCACTCAGTCCCTGAGTGCATTGTACCCAAGGAACCTCACCACGTTAACAGAGAACCCATCTTGATAACTTCAACCTACAAGAGGAAGAAATAACCCCCACTTCCTGCACCACACTCTTCAGAAAGTGCAGATGCAGATCTCTATTTCTGACTGGAACTGCTCCCTAATATTTAATCGTCTTTCTTCCTGAAAGAGCAGGGCTGTCAGCAAATCCCTACATTCTTCTAATGCTACTCCAGTTGGTGTTCAAAAGCCTTTTTTATTTCCTCCTTCAGTGCCACATGCTGCTGTGTCAACATAATACAGGGTCTTCCTAAACAAAGGAATGTGTGTCTAGAAACCATCCACAGAGAACGACAGCCAGAACCCTGCCAGCAGAAGGAGAGGAGGTCCTACACTCCTTCGTCCAGGACAGTTTCAAAAGAGAGATGGGCTGATTCACACGTGGGTAGCCCCAGTCCATAACACTAGATAAAGGCAGCCTAGACCATACTGCGTAAGTGGCAGGTCTGACACTGAGAGCATTCACAGGCAGTCTTCCCTCTATGAATCAAGGTGAAGCAAAGGATTCAGTTTGCTGCTACAGACACGTTTCAGATAGCAGACGGATGCCTGGCTGCACGGCTGGGAAAGTCCAACACCCCGGAGATGCTTCCAAGTGCGAGCCTAAGGACTGTCTCTGTGATGTGTAACTGCAGTAACATAGAGCTGGGTGTCTACCCGCTCGTGAGAAACAAATGAGCAGATGAAGGTGTGCCTAGCATCAGCAGGATGGGTTGGCATGCATCCTGTGCTCATCAGCCACAGCAGTAAAGAACCACCCTTGAGTCAAGAGATACAGCTCCAGTCCCAGCTCCGCTACCAATTTGCCATTTCATCTCGGCCAAGTCATTTCCTCTGTGTTGTTGATTTAACTCAAGCTGGTTATGAGTCTGCAGCCAAAAAGGCTTTCATCAGAAAATATGGTTCAGAGGGGAACATATGACCTGCAGCTGAGCTCTGCTGGGGTGCGAGACCATCGGACTGACACAGTGCTGTGCCAGACCTCCTCACTGCTCCTCACAGACCTCATCATTACTGCATGGGAGATGCTGGAAGGAGTGCCAAGGAACTGAAGGAATCACATGCAGTTGTTTAACGTGATGGTAGCCCTAGAAGAAAGGAAACATCAAGCCTCGTTGCTTGAGGTACTGCCATGGGAAGCTCAGGTGGAAGCCCGGAAATGACCCACCCTGAGCCAGGACGGAGTTATTCCCCCATCAGGTGCAGATAGCAGGTGTGCGGTGGCATGTTGTAAAGGAGATGTGAAATCAAAGCCAGCATCGATGGTAACTGGATAACCTCTATCTGTCTTTCATGCCTTGCTCATGATGTCTAAGGAGAGCAAAAGGGGGAGATTGTGCCTTTTGCCAAACAACACAGCTTCTTTTATCTCTGTTTTGAGAGTTTCTACAATCTTTTTGTTTCATGTCCAGTGTTTTTTTTTTTTTTAAATATTGTATATGACCTCTATGCACCCTGAATCTCAGCACTATTTGCACCTATCATGAGATTGAGGGAAGCCTCTTTATTCTGTTCAGATCTGCCAGACTTTCCTTCGTAGGATTTGGCCACTTCATTTAGAAGAAATCCTAAATATTTGTTTTAATTGCAGAATGGATTCTCATAAACCAGCAGGCCTGTGTGCTATCAGGCTTTGGATTGCATCAAACCTGGCATGCGGCCTCATAAGGCAGATGGTCAGGAAAAAGCACCTTGGCACAGTCTTCCCTGGCATCTTTTAGACAAAGGGCTACACCAGGGACTGTGCTGCCATTGCGGCGCAGAGACTTTTATCTTTCATCGCGGGTTTTGAAAGGCTGAATCCAGCAGGGTGCTAAGCTTCTGTCAGTCTCTGTCAGCCCTTCGCTCCCAATGTCTTTCTCCCCGCAGTCTGGCTGGTGTGGAAGGGAGGTCTGTTGGCAAAAGTCAGGGTTGTGGTTCTATTTTCAGAGCTACCTGCACGGCTCTCTCCCTTTCCTGTAGATTTTGACCGGCTCTGTCCTTGTTAATGGTCATCCTTAAAAGCCTGGGATTTTTTCAAGCGCTTAGCCCCCGGCTGAACCTGATCCCAATATTTCTAACAATTCCCATCCTGGACTGCCGCGGTTGCATTCAGGGAGCTCTTTGCACTTCACATTCTGAACAGTCACGCTCCTCATCAGCTAGGCAAGATTTAGTGGAAACTCTTTGATCTACAGCGCAGTTCGGGGATGTACCTAACCTATGATCCAACTCTGATTTCTGCAGATAGCAGTGCATTCCAGCTCTAAATCCCTCTAGCCCCAAATGACCTCCCCCACCTGGCAGAAGAAGGGGAAAAAACATCTTTTTTTTGAAAGACACGGTGCATTTCTTGGTTGCATGCTACCAGCAGTTAGAAACCCAGACAAAAGACACAGAAGCTCTCTCTATATTGTCTGTACCTGGTTACCTAGTGTTTCAGGACCCCTTAGACTGCAGCCATCACGGGTCACCTTAAATATTACCTTCACAAAAGATGCAGAAACACTGGCTAGACATTTGTTCCTCTGGCAGCCTGGATGTGCTTGTTCTCTCTCCCTGCCTGTTCGTTCAGCCATCCTATTGATTTATCCAGCTATAGATACCTGCACACATATGCCTTATATATGAGCAGCCTGAGTCTCCGTGTGCTGTGCTGCCTATGGTAGAGCCACACTAGTACTAAATTAGAGGAGCAGAGGAGGATTTCTTAAGTTGTCATCAATAAAAGTCCTAGTAACTCAGCGGGCAAGCATGTCCAAAATTCATCACTATTTCCCAGGTGGTATGAACAGCAAGTGGCAATATCTGAGTATGTTTTGTTTCTTTCATGTTTCTACCTGTATTTGATGTGGTTTATTAAAATTCCTGTACATGCAGCATAGCTGTCGTTGGTCATGAGGGATCATTTGATCCTGTGTGGTTTTTTTAGGCCTGGTGTCAGACTATTCTCTGAGCCCATGCTGGGCATTACTGGAGCTGCTCAAATGCGAGACCTTCTTAGGGGAGCTTCAGCGAACGCAGAAGTTTCATGAGATCAGGTGGACACACTTTGAATTTTGTGACAAGATCTGCTGCCCACACTGTGCTGTCCTAGTTACTAGCACATCTAAAGTTCACATGCTTTTTTAGAATAGAAAGCATCCAAAATTGCCTGTGCATGTGCTATATAGGTGTTGGTGCAGTTTGGTTGAAAGGCCTGGGCTTTCTCACCTGATTTTTAAACAGGAGCTTTGCAGAAGCTATTGTGTTTTGTCTGTACAAAACCAAAATCAGGAGATTTGGGCTATTACTCTCACAATGTACCTAAAACACGAGTAAACCTTCTCCTACACGCTTTTCAGAGGAGGGAAGGAATAGAGGGATTTAACGCCCTGATTAGGATGGAAAAAGCTGTGTGTCCAGCTCAGGAGCAGAGTCCCTGGAGCCTCCCGAGGCCGCGGGCAGCAGGTCAGCGGCCGTCCCGCGGCCCCGGCAATCGCAGTGACGGGTTCACTGAGCTGGAGGCAGGCGGATCACGGGGGCTGCCTCGGACAGCACTTCCCAGGCCCCAGGGGAAGATAGGTGGGCTCAGCAGGGCCCACAAATGGTTTGTGGGGTAGGTAACAGAATAGATCCCCACCTTCCCCCGGCTTCTCCAAACAGGGAGACATGCAGCCAGGAACTGGGGGGGGCTTTCCCTCCAGCAGCCTGATGAGGGGCAACCCACAACAGGGTTTTACTTGCAGACTAGCAGAGAAACCTTGGTGAAGATTAACCTCCTGTGTAACACAAGCTGGACAACTCTTTTTTGTGCAGATGGAAACTTCTATCCGCTTAAAACCTTTGAGGGAAGAGGGTGTCACAGTTATGTTGAGAAGAAAGTAGATTCCTATGGGTGAAAGTGATATTCCTCACTATCTTTTCTAATTGAAGCTCACCTGAAGAGCTATCTAAGTTGACATGAGAAACCTTTTTATGCCTCCTTATGTTCTGTGTAGCCAATTTAGCCCATTTTAGAAGATCCATCACAAGCAATGTCACAAACAAAGGCTGCTAAAGTGCTAGCATTTGAAGTATTAATTTAGCCCAACACATTAAGACTACCTATCTTTCTGCCAATTATTTTCGATAATTGTAACTATCACCTCAAACAGTCTGAGATGCCACAGGATCTGCAATTATCTGTATTTCCCCCTTTCCCCCCTGTTAGGTGAAAGGGATAAGAGGTAAAACTGTCAGGGAGCAACTGAAAGCTTCTATTTGCCAAGAGGAACATCTGAGAAATTTCTCCAACTACATTAAAAAGAAAAAAAAAAGGGAGGAAAAAGGATGGATGGTGGCAAATGCATTTGCAAACAAAGTGATAAAGAGGCCCTAGAAACTGGAGAAAGTGCTGACGGACAAAATGTTAGGAATGAAAAAAGGAAACCAGGGTAACGCAATAAATATGAGAAATAATTTTGCAGGGAACAGAGCGAACCTGCCCGTGCAGCAATGGAGGGCGGCAGCCATCCCAGCGCGCTTGTTGCAAGCAGCATCCGGGAGCACCAGGGATCCCGAGCACGGAGCCGCTAGAGGGACCCTTGGCCAGCAGGATGGGATTAACCTGGCCGCTGGGATCCCGCCAAGCCGACGGGGTTA